TTGGAGCTGACAATAATCAATTGACAAGACTTTATAAATGTGAATCAACTTCAAAATAGTTTTTGGTTTGTTTCTATAATCTATCTAAATAATCTAAATGGCAAGAAAACACATTTCAAGTTAAAAGGTACTCGATGTATACTAAAAAAACAAAAATAAATGTTTCTTTTAATTTATTCAAATACCCAGCACTGTTTGCCAGACATTTACCAAAAAAACGACTTTTCTGACCGTTTTTAACATCCCATAACTCCTCTACAGTTTGAACCTGACCTTTGTCACACGTCGTTATTGATTCTCCACGGGGCACTTCCTGTCACCTTTCACTTTGTTTTGCCTCATGAATCACGCAAGCGATAGATGAAACACTTAGGTCAGTTTCGAAAGACAAAATCAATTATTAGCCTATAATAGGAAAGGAAATATATAAGGAAATATAAAAACAGCTGACAAAACAGTTTCCACTCACGGTCAAACTACTTGCCAGCTATGGAGATTTTTATCATATCACCTTTATCTGCAAATTAAGTATATCTGTGGACTCTTAGTTATGTTGAAACTATTTGTGTGGCTGTAATGAAGAAATGTAGTTCCTGGAAAGCTTTTGGAATACTGTAGATGTGAATGTTACTGAGTGTTGAAACCATCAGACATTAACGGTAACCTATTATGCAAAATCCACTTCTTGTCCTGATCCATTTCTATAAAAACCTGTCTGAAATGATCTGATCTTGGCCACTTTATGATGTCATAACGATTTTTTGGCTTGTGTAACACCCCCCCCCCCCCACCTTATCACCTGAATCTCCTCCTAGAGCACCATTGTGTTAAAATATCCAAATATCTCTCAGAGGGTCGTGGGGAGGGGCTCCATATTTTCATCTAAAGTAACAGACAGAGAATCAGCACTTTGGAAACAGGGTTGAAACAGAGGGGATTATGGGATGCTTCAATGATCTGTTTGGTATTTGGAGCCAAACACTTCAGAGACATGCTTTGTATATATCTGAGACCTATAATATATTGATGAAAAACAGTACAATAGGGGACCTTTTAAAGGGGTACAAAAACATGGTGAAATGCCTGTTGTTGTGACTGTCTGTGTCTCTGTGCAGGTACGACTACGACGACCCCTCAGACGGTCTTGAGCCCCCCGACATGTCGTGGCACGAGGAGGAGCAGGCGTCTCTGCGGCAGTCCCTGCGCAGCCTCCAGACTCAGTTCGCCGGTGAGCGCGCACGCAGGGAGCAGTCGGAGCGCGAGGCCGAGCTGCTGGCCGGGGAGAACGCAGCGCTGGAGCATCAGCTGGCAGGGATGGAGGGCTGCAAGGTGTGTGTGAGGAACATATGTTCATCTCTTCACACTTAACACATACACAAACAACACGTCTGCAGAACGACGTGTGACTTTGTCAGTCTGGGGTCCTAATGTTTGGTTTCAAAGTCCCCAGTCCATGAGGAAATCAAATGTATAATACTCTTTAGATCCCGGCACTAGTGGCACTAGTTATAATTTGAAAAAAGTCAGTACAATTGGGCTGGAATCCTTATCTTACTTTAGATGGCTACTTCAATGTAACTCTACCTGGATTTAATACTATCAGATTAAAGGGTTATTCTGCGATGACGAATCAGGACTATCGCAGAGTTCTTTTGTGAGTTAAGGAGCCAGTGGAGTAGAATATTTTTCGAAGAAAGAAAACTTTTATCAAGGAACCACAGCGCTTCACTTTACTTTACACCTTAAATTTGACGAACCTTATCTTTTACCAAACTTTAAGACTTTAATCTCAGAAATCAGTTTTTTGTTTCTGGATGTTCTCCTCTCCGCTTCGTGTTTATCTTCTTTTTTATTTGACCTACAATGGCCTAACACAGCCATATAATTCAATATCTTAATTGGAAAATTGCTGCTGCACTTTAACATTAGTGTCACAATGACTCAATCTTAGTCTTTTGAAACAACATATCACCATCTCTCTTTCCTCTCTCTGTTCCAGACCAGAGTAACCGAGCTGGAGCGTGAGGCGGAGGAGCTCCGTCATCTCTGGAAATCAGATTCCTCTACGAGATCCAGCCGGCCGGACAACATCCACAGCCTGCTGCCCAACTCCATGTTCCTGAACCCCGAGGAGGAGAGCGAGGAGGGGGCCGCTGCAGCCAAGAGCCCCTGGGCGCTGAAGTCCTGGGACAGCGAGCGGCTGGCGAGGACCCCGCAGACCCCCCACAGGGTGAACGACCACGAGTGCTCCTGCGTGCGCCGAGCAGAGGTGGTGAAGTACCGCGGCATCTCGCTGCTCAACGAGGTGGACGCGCAGTACAGTGCCTTGCAGGTGAAGTACGACGAGCTGCTGAGACGCTGCCAACCGGGGCAGCAGGAGCAGGAGGAGGAGGAGGAGGAGGAGGATGGGCAGACGAATCAGTCCGTCCAGACTGCATGTCTTTCTGCTGCTTGTCCCTCTCTCACAGACTTTCAAGATGACTTTAATCAGCCCGAGTACAAGGAACTTTTTAGGGAAATCTTCTCTCGAATTCAAAAAACCAAAGAGGACCTGATTGAGAACAGAGGGAGAGCCTCGGCAGGTGAAGGGCTGCCTATTTTGCATAATTAGCTTCTCGTAAAAAAAAATATTTAATGATTGTCTTCCAGATATAGACTCTTAGAGTAGCAAGTGAAGCTAATGAAATCTACACTTGTATGTTTTTGGCCCAGAAGTGGCGGTTGCCATGCAAAGCGGGTAAAGATGAGTGATGTAGGAACAGGAAGGCCAAACGTCACCAGCTCTGTGGCTCACCAGCACAAAAACACCAGTGCCTGCCGTCCCCACTGTGCACTCACTCTACCTCACTTTGCAAAAACAAGCTCCAGAGGAAATCGTTTCTGGGTCTTATTTTCATTAACACTTTATTCTACAGGGTCCCATCACTTCTTAAAGTTAGCTAGAAAGATGTGAAATCTCAAAAAGGTTCCTGGAAAAGACTTAAATATGTTATTCTAAGCTAATTATAGAGAAATTGGAGGTGACAAGTTGAAAAAAATCAAGCGTATATATGTATACATATATAACTGATTAATTTGTAGTTTTATTAAATTAATTGTTTAGTATATAGCCCATAACAAGTTCCCAAAGAACAATAGGACGTCAACAAACTACTTTTGTCTAAGGAACAGTCAGCTATCCAAAACATACATTCAATTAGCTTTATAGAAGTAGAAAACCAGCAAGTATTAACCTTTCAGGAGCTGGAATCAGTCTCTGTAAACGTTTGTTGCTTAAAGAAGAATCACCGATGCTCTAAAATGTTGCCGATTTATCTTGTTTTGATCAGCTAATTAACCAGTAGTTTCATCTCTAATTGCTATTGCGTATTTTTGTATTTGAAATCAGTGAATTCTATTGTTTATTATTTTACACATGGTCTTAAAATAGTGAAGGTGTGAGCCAGACAACTTGATGAGCAGAATTTCACTATAAAATGGTGTAGGCTCATCAGCACCACATCCAACATTGGCCCTGTTCAGACCCGGCATTAACATGTGACATTTGATACATTATAATAACAAGAACATTCTTTTGAATTATTAACTCGGTTGAACTTGAATATTTCCCATAACTCTCCCAGTGATTAGTCCAACATTAAACAGCTCTTTTTCAGGAACCTCGTAGAAAATGATCATAAAGACAACTGATCCATGGATTCAAATGTTGTCGCTGTATCCGCTGTTTGATTGGTTTACTTTGCTCCTGCTTTAAAATGTGAAGTTTTTTTATTTTATTTTTCTTTACAACAAAAAAAAAGAGAAAATAAAAGGTACCTTTCTTGGTGATAGTTTTGCCTGAGAGACCACAGCAAGTTGTTGATTTGGTGAAGGAGTTTATTATATTAGAAGTTGGTGATTCAAGGTCAAATATATAGGGATGTTTTGTAAGGTAACATTTATTTCTTTAAATGATACTTGTACAATAGGTTAAGAGACTGTGATTGAATGTATTATTATAGGGAAGTTCTGAGGTTTACCAAAAGACTAACTCGATGTACTGGACAATGTAACGGCCTCCTAGAATGTTGTTTATCACGGAAACGTGTTTTGATTTAGAGGGGTTTCTCAGCAGCACTTTTCTTTTGCTTTTTTGAGATGCACTTTAGAAATTGCACATCATTATTGTTCTGTCACTTTACATGTCTTTCATATGTAGTTATAAACAAGCGTGCTGAATAATCTGCAGTATGTATGTACGATGTGTTTTTACCTGTTTCATGAGTGGACCTCGTGGTTTGTCAGAGCCATAAAACATGAAGCAAGCGCCACATCTGTGTCCTTATTACTGCTGTTAATATGTTACTCATAGAGATTGATGAACTCAAACATGATAAGAAATCCACTTGAATCATGTAATACGTATTTTATCAGCCTGGAAATAAAACCTGAAATATCATTAGCAGTGGGAACAAGTGTTGCGGTGGCAGCACAATAATTAGAGCAAACATTCAAAAACCAGGACATTTGGTCTTATGTCAGTATTTGAAACCAACTATTTAAACATAGAAATTAACAATGTAAGGCTTTAACCCTTAAATTGTTTCATTAGCCTGGGCGATAGTCATGTGACAGGCTGCGTCCATGTGTAAAATGGGTGGAATAAGCAATTACGGTGCAATATGGGTCTAATAATGATGTAATGGTATAATGTGGGAGTAATAGGGTGTAACATTATTGTAATAGGGTGGTGTTAGTGTGTAATTTAGATGTTACATGGGTGTAATGTAGAAAATAGCAATCAATTGATTGTCCATTTAAGGGTTAAGAACATTAAGAGTGCAAATATAAATATTAAAGCTTTGTAATGAAATGGACAATGATGAAAATCAAGCTTTTGTTTGACAAAAAGTAGTTCATGTGAACAAAAAAAGCTCACCAATTAAAGGTCTGACATGTAAAGGTTACTAACCCTTAACATATCAATAATAACTAATAATGACAAAAGAAAACATCACCCGTTGACATTAACAGCGTTTATTGAAGTAACAAACTAATAAAAAAAGAATACAGCGGTCGTTATCTGATGATGTCCTACATTTCCTCTCTTAGGAAGTTTAAAAGCATCATTGTTCCTGTTCCTCTCTGAATGAATGGGTGGGAGTTCGTCTTGCGAGGCACTTTAGATGAGGCTCAAGATAGCAGCACACGGCGATACACCAGTGTATCCATAGCAACAACAACTCCCACATCACTCCAAAAATGGCGGTCCAGTATTTGAACCGAACCACGAGCCAGTATCGTCACATCCCTTGCACTTTGTTCATACAAATGGGTTCAATCTGATCAACATTCCCGAATTTTGTTTTTCAAAATGGCATCCTTATTGGCCGTCATCAAATCAGTCCCTCATCAAAAGGAAAACCAAACTCTGCACATTCAACCAAAAACAAACCTCATCATCACCCATTGAATCCACTTTCTCAGATTTTATTGTTCAGTACACATTCCACTGCATAATACAGACATGTGGGAAAGCCACATTTCATGCGGAAGTTTCCAGCTCCGTGATTTCTGCTGTATCATATTATGCATAATAACATTGTGACTTTTTGCTTGTTTCTGCATCATTTTCTTTTCACTTATTGTTTCAGGACTCCTGAATTTGGCACAGTTTCTTTAAGTGCCTTCACATGTTTACTTGGAATACCTTAATTAAATACCATACTCCTATTAGAGATAATGTTCTAAGTTAATAGTTGAAAAGTAGAAACGTTTTCTTCCCTCGAGGGCTTGAACATTTTCTTTTTGATGATATGAGAAAGTATATTGTGTTTTCTCGAGCAAAATACAGAAATCAGGAGATAAATGAAAGCACTCTGATCCCCTTCGCTTTCAATTGTAAAATGATCTTTAAAAGTTTAATTCAAAAATAATCAAACATGAGGTCCAACAAATCGAAAAATCTACCGATAAACCTTATATATTCCTTATATAGCCATATATCCCCCTCAGACACTCAGCTCTTGTGAGTTCCTTTCCTTCGCGCTGCATCAGATTGCTTGTGTCAGTCAGAAATGCTTCAGTTGAAATGAAATAACCTTCATGTTCTGAGCAGACGGCCGCCGTCTTTTTGTCCTCCACTCGCACGCCCTCAGAGCAGGGCGAGCTATGATTGTGATTGGCTCTCGTCTCTCTGGCTGCCCTCCCACTAGACAACCTGGAGAGGATTTGATTGGCTGACAGGGGACTGCAGGCTCTCAGTGTCAGGACGGAACCGTTCCCTTGAGGTACCACATCCCCGCATGGCTGATGCAGCACTCCTGGAACCACAGACAGGTACCATCAGTGAAGAACAAGAGACGTAAGCTCTGTGATATAATGTCAGTTAGGATATTCTTGTCCTTAAGGGTCTGAGTAATTGTATTTTAGCTGCACAGTTTACTATTGACTTATTAAAAAAGGAGCTGAGGTTGAACTTCCAAAATTAGAAAAAGAGAAAACGTCCACCCTTGTTAAAATGTATTCCATATGCATTAACAAGGCTACAAATGAAAATCAAAAATTGTCCCCAGTGATGCATAGGGGTTAAAAAGTAATCTATTCTAGGGCTGCAACAAACGACTCATTTGATAATCGATTAATGAAACGATTAATCGACTATTCGGACTATTACTGTATGCCTTGCACAATTTCTCAAACGCTCTTATTTATCCATCAACTTTTAGATTTAGCTTGAGGTTGTTTTAGGCATGTGGAAACTAACAATGAAGACAATAAAGATGAATACTTGATTCACAAATACATATATTATTAAATTAACTACCAGAACAAAATTAACATTGCTTTTTATTTAAATTAAATAAATAATATTTCACATCAAAAGAAACAACAGTGTTTTAACAAATCGTATTAAATAATGTGATGACAGAACTGTAAACAGAATAGTTGAAACTTTAACAAAATAAATAACTCAGTTAACTCTAATCATTAAAGCATGTTTGTATAATTGAGTTAACTCCGTGTGTTGCTGACGTGGAAACGTTACTCGTGGATGGGGGGGGGCTACAGCGCTACTAGAAAGACAGTGGAACCCGGTGCATTCCTCCGTCTGAATGTGGTGCACTTTTTCTAAATGTTTAGACAAATTGCTCGTGTTACCGCCCTTACATGCTAAACTCTTATTGCACTTTTGGCAACGAGCATTGTCCACATCGAGACGGGTAAAGTTTGACCACACCTCGGAGCGCCTTCTCTCCGCAGTGTGTGTAAACTGCCCCGCCCCCTCGCACAGAGCGGGGGAGAGAGATCTCGTCTGATCCAAAATACATCATAGACGCATTTGTTTGTCTTTTTGCATGTTAGAAACGACTTGGCGACACTAAGACTGCGATATAATGTTTTTGTAGCAATAATACATCACATATATTTTTTAAATGTCTCCAGTACCGATAAAAAGACCAATAACGTTGGAGCTTAACGGCGCGTAAAACACACGTGATGACGTCACCAACGAATTGACGACTGAATTAGTTGGCAACTAATTTGGTCATCGATTTTAATCGATTAAGTCGATTAGTTGTTGCACCCCTAATCTATTCAGTGATTACTCACATTTAGCATCCGGTCGACGTCCGCCTTACAGGCCTCTCCTAACTCCTGTGTGAGTTTGGCTTGAATCATAGTCCTCCTGATGCGGTAGTTCTTGTTGAACAGTTCATACAGCAGGCGGCGTTGCTGCAGGAAGAAAGAAAGATTTAATAAAAAGGGAAAGATTTCAGCATTTTAGGAATTACACTTATTTACTTTCTAAGAGACAGATAATGAGATCAATACATCTCAGAGAAGAAGATTAGCTTAGCACAAAGAGCCCAACAGGGCAAACTGCTAGCCTCTGTCCGGTGATAACAAACACACCAAACACCTAAATCGCTCATTCGTTTTCTATAAGGCTCGTGTAATCTGTTGTCATTTTGAAGTGTTTTTGAATCTCATGTAAGCTGCTGAGTCCAGCCCAGAAAAACAAAATGGCTTTTGTTTTTCTGGGCTGGACTCAGCAGCTTACATGAGATTCAAAAACACTTCAAAATGACAACAGATTACACGAGCCTTATAGAAAACGAATGAGCGATNACTAGAAGTAGTCTCAGAAACTGGACGAGAGGTCTCGCCGTCTCCGCCTCGACTCGTGTACCTCCGTCGTGTAACGGACCCTGGTTGTCCGAAGTGTGACTGTTAAGTGCTCTCTCTGTCTCCCCTTTGCAGTTTTTAGAGACTCATAATACACTATTCTTTGCAGAATCTACTACCCAACCCCCTAACTGAATGTCAAAAAGGAGACGTTATCCGGGCCGTAATCCTCAACGGATCGGACTGAGGGACGTTTTTTAGTTTAATTTCGTACGGTTCCGTCAATAATTAAGGGTAATGTATCTTCTGTCCTGTGAAAACTATTTCTAATGGTTACAATCCGACCTCAGCAGCCACCATCTTAGTTGTTCAGTTAGTTGTCTTTTACTGACGTCTGAAAATTCTTTCATCGTGCGTCCCCTTAGTCTGTAATTGGCAGTTGTTTCAATATAAACGTTAGTCCCTGGTTTGCCCCTGGACCCACCATAATGGCCATTCATTGTTTCGATAGAATGCCAGTCGTGACTAGTAGTTCCACTTCCCTTCCGTTATCACCGAAACAATGGTTTTCTTTTACGAGTGGTCTGAAGTTGTTTCTGATCTGATCAACTCAGTTTCAGCACTTTACATAAGTTGGACACAACCAACACATTTAAACAAAAACAATGTCATCTGCTAACATGATGTTTTCATGGGTGTTTTATATCAACCCGATATTTACTTATTGTCAATACCAGTATATTTTGCGAGTCGCTTAATTTGAAAGAGGTCCACGGTTCCCATGTAGTTTTCTATGTGCCACAAGGGGGCAAAAAAGCATTTTATATGAATTTCCAGTGTATGTGAAATGATTTCCAAACCAGTCATACCTTTTGCTCAGTACATTTCTCATAACCATGAACTTCATCATGTTTTCACACAACCAACATTCACTTTGGTTTTCCTTCCTCTTGCAGTCATGTTTCATATTTCCTCCCCTGTCTCCTCTGCTCTTTAGTTAAAGTGATGCCGTTTGCTAACCTGATGGGCCTGCTCGCCTCCGGCACGGACTCGACGGCGGCGCTGCGCTGCATCCAGCAGGTGGCGCTGCTGGTGCAGGGCAACTGGGTGGTCAAGAGGTGAGAGGAAATGTCACTAAAAGTTTTAAAACCGATAAACGTGTTCAGAATGAGTTTTGCAGCCGACATTGAGAGGATTTATAAACCTGGCACTGATGTCTCTGTTTGTTTGTCTTCTCTGCAGTGATGTCCTGTATCCTAAAAACACCTGCAGTCCTCACAGCGGGGTCCCTGCCGAGGTGCTCTGTCGGGGCCGGGACTTTGTGGTGAGCTGCTGTCAATGACTTTGGTCCATTCTTTTGAGTTAGCAAAATGAAAGCAATATCAGTGCGGGCCTGGTGTGTTTTGTTTGCAGCACATGATTTAAAAGTCATCCGTTGTTTCTTTTATAGATGTGGAGGTTCACTCTGGAGCGCTCTGTGTTGAGAAAGGAGATTGCATCCATCATCAAAGTAAGACAGTAATCCCAACATGACTGAATGTCCAACAGTCAGCATTTTCTTTCAAATGTAACTATGATTCAGTTTGTAATAATAATAATACATGGTGTTTTTATATAGCGCTTTTGCTGGTGCTCAAAGACGCTTGTTTGCAATCATTGTTTGCAATTTGACCTTCATGAAAATGTTTAAAAATTGCAAGTTAGTAGGGAAAAACTAATTGTTTTTGGAGGCGCTCAGCCTTAACATATTCACTGCCCCACAGGCTGCTTTCAGGGTAAATGAGTCTCTTGGGTGCTCAACATGTTTGCAGGGAAGTTGTTAGTGGAAGTGTGATGCCTTTTTTCTGTTTGACTTTCTATTAAAAGGAACCCGGACTGAATTGGTTTCATATATTGCTAATAAATCCTTCTGATACGACAGTTAATCACAGAAATAGCACAGGCGCTGAATAAAAGGACACGCCTCCTCAAATAACGTGAGGAAGGGAACGTTTGCATTATTGTGAGTTACTCCACTTGAGCGTCTCTGAGCGCATTGCTTAATGAAACCTTGAGGCTGCAGCTTTTCCCCTGATTCAGGTAAACAGAACTAACAAGTTGTTCCTCCTCCTTCTGTCAGCTTCCTCCGGAGGATGTGAAGGAGTTCCTGGAGCATGTGGCTGTTCCTCGAGTTAACCGCGGCTGGGAGTTCCTGCTGCCCACCGATGTAGAATTTGTGAAGAAACACACAGACATTGCCCACAGGCAACACATGCTGTGGCTCGGCATCCAGAGCAAGTAGGTCTCACTCAAATAACCGTGTGAATCAGGACATTAAAGGCATCGTTTAAAAAACAAGATACACCCATGTTATATTCTGTTGTGTTGTGGACTTAAATGATTACAAATGTTAGCAACACTTTTGAAACATTGAGAAATCCTTTAATTTAAACATCTCTCTATTTGAAAAGCTTTGTATTATCATGTGGTTGACATTGATTGAAAGTTTGTTTTTTGAACTTTATACTTAATAATATAAGGATTTTATGAGGATATATAAGGTCCTCGTCAGGTAGATTTTAATTACCTGAGAAACAAGCTGAGCAAACATCAGTATGCATTGAAAGTTGTTCTTGATGAGTTGTGGACTCTGTTTAATTTGTACCAATCTCTCGTCCTTCCCTTCTAAGGCTGGAAAAAGTGTTCAACTTCTCCAAGGAAGACTTCATGCCAAAGAACTCCCCTCAGCCTGGTGTGTGCTCAGTCATTGTTCTAACCCCTGTAGACACATAAGAAATGACCCATTCTGCACAAATGATCTTACCTCCTGACGTTCCGTTATTCTCCAGATCCCGTCCATGTGACCGGGGAGCAGCGTCTGAAGAATGCTCAGGACCGCGCTCAGGGAAACAAGTCGTCCATGCAGAAGGACCTGGACACGAGACGCTCAGAAAGCAGCATACAGGTCAAACAGGAACCGGTCAGCGACAGGGAAGACGAACCCATGGACACCTCCTCTTCCTCCTCCGCCATCAACGGCTCTGTGAACGGCTACCCCAGCGCCTCCGCCTTCGACCACACTAATGGTATCACGGGGAGTCCGGCCAACGCGCCGTCTGTGGAGCTGAAGGACTTTGTGAAAAAGACTTTCAAGAAGCATTTTGTACTGACACTGAATGAATTCAAGAGGCTGTTTGGCCTCCACATCGCCTCCATGCCGTCGGGACACAGCATCTACCCCTCCATCTCGGACCACATGCTGCAGGACGCCATACTGCTCTGCCAGTGCAAACAGATAATGGTGCCTGTGAGTATTCAGCCAGGATCTCTACTGTCGCAACTCAGGATTTACACTTTTGGATCTAAAACTCCAAGTCATTCACGCTGGAGGCTCCTTTTCATTGTTCTCAATATGTGTTCCCTGTGCATACTCTTCAGTGTCAGTGTATAGACAAACTGTCTGTGAAAACACTGCAAGGGGCTGCTGCACTAATGTGAGCAAATTGAGGAAATATGAATCTAGAAATCCAGCTTGAAGGATCCTCATGGGTCAAAACATCAGTTATATTGCTTTCAACTTCGATGGCAGCACCTTTTCTTTCCAGATCGACCCTTGCTCATTAGTTTAGTGAAATGTTTTAGTTGTCAGGGACCACGTACAAAAAGGGCATACATCTCAAAGAGATAAGATGCTTTTACCAGATTATAGCAGTTTGCTCATTTCCATCTGCAGTCCCTGAGCAGCTCAACACAAAATACAGCATATACAATTTCAATGACAACATTAACATATGATATCACAACATATTTCATACACGCGTGCTAAAATGAATACACTTCACATAAAATGTACTTTCTATCTTCAAACTTAAAAATTGTGTCAAGTCATTAGTGATAAACCCATTAGATGATTGGACGAAAATGAATTCACTTTATAATATAACCGTATAGTATAACTTTATAATATAAGTATCTTTTGTTTATCTACCGAAGATGAATTGGCAGTGAAAGTGAATTCATTATCTTTCTGTTAATTTTGACTCATGTCAAAGGCCCGAGTGTTCCTCTGCACGTCAGCTTTAGAAGTGCTGAGATTCCTCCACCTTTGTGTTGTACTGAGAGCTGCTGCTACTCTTCTGTCCAGTAAGGACTGCCTGCGTGCTGAATAAGGGGCTTTCTCAGCTTCAATGCAGCTATCAGTTTTCTCAAACAGAATAACGACATTAACGGTCGTTTTCTTGTGTTGAGGCACTGAAGCAACGCAGGGCTGCTTCTCAGGTTCCACTCAGCTTCCAGCAGCCACCTGATACCTCAGTGTGTGGGTCTCTCTGTGTGGGACTGGGGGAGCAGTGTGTAGGCTTCATATAGAAGGATGTCATCTGCTCACCCTGTTTTTGTAGCTGTTTTTACTGTGTGTGGCGTTTGCAGGGCGTGTTTCATAAGCAGCCAGATCTCCTGCCAGGACCAGCCCTGTCCCAGCTTAGCTCTTATCCAATCTGAGCCCTTCATGTGGAGGATTCTAACCACCGTAGGGAGGGACTGGCCCGATGCCGTCTTTGTTATGCAACAGGTTATTGGTCCCAAAGCAAAGCTCATTACTGCTCAGTGAGGGACTTAGCCGTTTAGTTGTTTACAAACGGAGGCAGATCCGCAATCAGCTGACTCACCCTTCTACATCACAGCATTGCTGTTTGAGATGTCTGACAGTTCACAGATCAGTTTTGAGTCTGCACGATAATCCTCCTCAGTGTTTGTCCTCCTGGTCGCAGCAGTGTTCGCCATGTTTTAGCTTCGGCATATTGTCAATAGAACAAATGAACAGACGGTCTACCAAAGGAAATGTTTTCAGACTCAACTCAAAACAGCCTATTTAATTGTTTTATTCTTTTACATTTAAAATCGTATTATTATATTTTTATTTTATTATACTTTATCTAAGTATTTACTAGCCCAAACACATTGAGTTCCTGGTATGTTTTCATTCAGAGCCCATGGAGTAGTGTCGGACAGGTAAACCATGCCACAGCCACCCAACCTGTTCTGCGCTAATCTGCAAACATATGCGTCAATAAACCATCATTAAACAATCCAGACCCAACCTGCAAACTGCCAGTCTTAGGCTTTGCAAGAGCACACTTGTCACGACTAAAGCATGAGACCTACAGCCCGGAAAATAATACATTTTAGGAGCGCTTCTTTCCTTAGGCAACACAAGGCATTTCAAAGTGCTTTACAAACATGAAATGACATTAAGAGCATTAAGAAACATATTATAAAATGTCATTTAAAAACACTCATTTACAAGCAGAGATAATAAAACGTGAATAACAAAGGTAAATGAATAAAAGCTTCAGTGCAGTGTGAGATACACACGTCTGAAATGTTTAGTTCTGACTCAATCATTGCTAACTTTTTAGCAGAAATAGTTTTCTATGACCTCACTTTCTTTCTACTTTATTTTTTAACTTATCCTTTAGTTATTTCAAGTGTTTCATGCTAAACGAACCCCCCTTTGGAAAATCCTAATCTGACCCCATGGTACCTTTTAGTTTTCGCCGAAACTATTCCTCTTTAAAAAGAAATGCACATGAGTTAAGTTTACTTTGTCTTTCTAGGTACACGTAGGGGACTTTAACCACTTAGAAAAGTAAAACTAGCTGTTGTCTGACAAATTATGATTTGGTCATACAATAGTGTCAGGGAATCATTTGCCCTGCATCTCCTCCTTCTTCCTCGGATGCAGATGCCCACCCTCGGGCAGCCGTTATCTCCCTTAAGGAGGGGCTGCCCTGGCATTTAGTTGTTGTTGTTACCAGTTTATGACCGGGCAACTCTCGGTCAGAGATAGTTATTGTTGTGGGACACCTGGAACACATCCTTCTCGGGGTGTAGATGACCCCGAGCCATAAGCAACAACAAATGTGATTCAGTGTCCCTCAGCTGTTTAGTCTATCTATTGAAGAATGTTGATTACCATCAGCAAACTAGCTAAAGCCCCCTACCAGAGAGGAGAACCCTCAGAATTGATTTGGCATCTCAACCTGTGTCAACTCGTGGCCCGTGACATGTCTTGTGAATTCTCCGGCCGAAGCTCCAAATAAACCGTCAGTGTTTGCCATCAAAGCTCCAGCGCTCTTCGTGTCTCTCTGAGTCCTGTTTCCAATTGCTTCAGAAGTTTCCCAAACAGATAGCATATTGACAAATCAGCCAGAAAGTGTCAGTCCTATACATTAAGTGTCTGAGAGAATAGTAAGCATTGCTGTCAATTCCTAAATGTTGCATAAAATGGTTTGAATCAAGGTTTTAAAGAACAAGCATGCTTTATACTTTTCTTATACACACACTTTGTTATACAGCGAACTAGAGATATGAACTGATAACCTGTTGAAATGCTTCTCTAACTTCTGCTTCCCTCTGTCTTCAGTTTCCTGCTCAGACCACAGCAGCCACTGACGAACAGAAGGTGTTTGGTTTGTGGGAGACAGGAGAGGAGTTTGACAAGGTAAACTATTTCTCAGGTTTATAGCAGGTCTACATCCGTTTTGCTTCTTGACTCTGCATGCACGTTCTGCAGCACAAACCACAAGTTCTCTGAAATGTCCCATGAAACTTCAGAGACCACATGCACTGTCTGTGAGCCATGACCTGCGAGAGTCAATACTTCAACGCCACACAGAAGAGAGAAGTAGAACTGTTGACACTTTGTGGTGTTTAGCTGCAAATGGCTGCACTACACTTCCTTTGTTAAGTTCCCCGACATGAGAGGTGACTCTTGTTTCCATAAAGTGAAAGTACCCCACGCTCTCCTGTCCAGAGTTAAATCTGAAGATCAATACCTCTCTTATTTGTCCAAGGAAGCAAACTCCACACACCGGCAGCTCTAAAGCTCACTAATTAAATCCTTAAGTCTTCTTTCTGTGTTGTGTAAAAACAAAAAAGCTGTGGTTGTTACAGTGATGAATTTGGCTTTTGTTTTTCTGGGCTGGACTCAGCAGCTTACATGAGATTCAAAAACACTTCAAAATGACTACAGATTAGTTAGTTTAGTTTTTATTAGGATCCCCATTAGCACTAGCATGAGCATTGGCTATTCTTCCTGGGGTCCTCACCCACACAAAACATACATAATACAAACCAGAACGGAACAACTCATCATTTCATGAAAAGTGCATGGTAAGGAAGTGAAAGCAAAAACAAAACAGAAAAAATAGTCATCCACATTTTAGCCATCATCAGTCAAAACCTAAACAAAAATTTTACCAAAATATTAATTTTACATGATAATACCTAATTACTAATTTACTAATGACCCACCAAGTACAGTTCAAATTTAATTTTAGTTCTCAGATATTGTTTTAGGCAAATGTTTGAAATGTATTGTTTTGAGTTGTCGTTGAATGATTATCCTAGTTCCTTACAGTGACCCCTTTTAGGGTAAACGATATAGAATGGCAGAGTTGTTCCGTGTTCCCTTGTCGGCTTGTGTGGATTAGTAATCTGTTTCTGTCTGATATTTGTCTATGGTATTTTTGTGGTGGGTGTGTGTAGAATTTGACTTGATAGTGCCTGAATATGGGGATCTAATAAAATAACTAAAATATCTGTTAGTCATTTGGATTTTTGTGTTAATGAACCTTTTTTCTGTAATTGCATGCGTGTGTTGATTGAATACTGCTCTATAGTGATGTAGTGACGTGGCTAGGTAGATCGCTTATTAGAATAGAAAGCCACAAATCTATGTCCAAGTGTAATATTTCGGTCGTGGACTTTTATACACGAGCTTGTTTTTAAGACCAAACAAACAGAAAAGACGGAACATATAAGAGGGACTGTTTTATAGATGTGGGAGTTTTAGGGAGTGGTTCTGTTCCATCACCGGGGCTGTGGTGAGGGCTGATGTTGTGCCCTGTTGGTCCGTCCGTGTTCGGAACTCTAGACGCGAGGTTAAATTCTATCCTTGCTTGATATTGTTACTCGGAGAGCTAGAGCGAAATTAGGATCGCTGTTCGGCGCCTCCCGCTTTTTTAACGCTGTGGTTGATTTGGGTGACTGTGTGTATTCGTGGAGAACCGAGAGTTTTCGTTTTGGGGGGGTCCGTCAGTCCAATCTCTCCACTCAAAAAAAGAAGAAGAATCTTAGATCGCCAAAATAATTAAACAAGCGAGTGCCTGTTTTTCCTGGCCAAGGACAGGTTCATTGAACACAACACGAGCCGTTAACGTGTCTTCACATAGGTCTTCGACGGACGGGTTATGTCTCAGTCTGGAAGGTGTAATGGAGGAGGCTTATGTGTTAACGTCTTATTGGAATAGCAAAGCATCTATGAAATATTGCTCATTCATGTCGGGGAAAGTACCTATTACAGGAAGCAGGCAGAGTGTCGCTATGCCGCGCATTTGAGCTAACACCAAAGTGTCAACAGTTCTACTTCTTTATGTGTGGATTGATATTATATCAGAAGGTCATGGTACAGACAGTGATTGGTCTCTGAACGTTTCCATGGGACAT